GTTAGCTAGTGGTGTGATTTCTGCCCCTCATTTTCTCTTGCCTGGACTACTGCTATTGCAATGCTCTCTTAACTGGCTTCCTGCCTCCAATCCCCACCTAAATCCCCCCTATACTCTGTTGCCAAATTCATCTTTCAACACACAAATCTGATTCTAAAATCCTCCAATGATTCCTTTGACAAGATATGTCCAGAATCATGTACATGACATATCAAAGTCTTCATCATCCCTCTGCAATGCGCAGGTATAGCTGTATGCCCAGCCTAGAAGGCCCTCACCCTGACCACCTGCAAAACTCCAACTCATTCCTTCAGATTCAATTGATGCATCATTTCCTTCAACCTCCCCCTTCCATTCCACACATAGTCAAACATCTATTTCTTTGCTTCCTACAGCATACTCAGTGTTGGCTTTTATGATGCCACTTACTGTCTTGTGCTGTCATTGTTTGCCTGGCATTCTTCCCATCAAGGCAGTTTAGTTTAGCAGGACCACAGGAGTGAGACCAGGTTCAAAGACTAGAAAGAATGGCAACTCTGACTCAAGAGGGGTACTTTTACTCTGGTTTTCCAGCCCTTCATCCAGCTGGCAATGCAGAGAACACACACAGTGCAATGCCATCCTCTGCTCTGTGACACTAAGGACCTCAGAAGCTATTCTGTAGAGAGCATAGTTGTAAGAAGGGGGAGTGAAGTAATCGGTGTTCAAAAACTGGTCGTAAGGAGCAAGACCAGAGGCAGGAGATGAGTGAGAGAAGTAAGAGGTTTCAGTTTCCCAGAGTAGGGATGACAGCTCGAATCAGGCCAGTGGCAGTGGATGGGAGAGAAGTGAAGAGATTTGGGAGACCTTACACAGGACACAGTAAATGACTGGAAGCAGGAGTGAGAAGGAGTTGACTGGAGATGCTATTAATTGAAGTAACCAGAAAGCAGAAGTCTGTAAGAAGATATAAATTCAGTACATGTGCACGTGCATGCACACACGCACGCATACACACACACGCAATCAAGGTACATAATAATGCAAATGGTCAGTGGCACTCCCAGATTTTCACAGGGAGTGCCCAAAATTCAGCCGAGTCAGCAGACAGCAGGGAGGGAGGAATTTGCTAGGTCAAGGAAGCCTGGAAGTGAGGGTTTGCTGCCTTTCATGCAATTTTAGGGCCAGGATAAGAGACATGTAAGATCCTGTCATTGGTCTTAACGTCTGGATGTTGGATTCACAGTGTCTTGCTGTACCACAGTCACACAAGCCATTTACTTACACAAGTGCCAGATTTCAAGGTAGTAGACTTGACCCTGGCTTGCCATACACAGATAGGTATAGTAGGTGTTTTTTTGAACAAAGAAATCAATGACATGTATAAACACATATAATAATATTAACTTCATAACATTGTAAACCTTTGATGAGATAACTTGGTAAAGCCAGACTATCTTTTATAAACAGAAAACTCCTGTTATCATTTATTGGAAATTTAAGTAACTGTGTTTAGCCTTACCCAAAGGGGCTAAACTACTTTATCGTATTCATTCAATTTTAATATCAATTCATTGATCTTGAATTCAATTCATTGACTATAGATTCATTCAATTTCAGTGTCAATATCTATTCACTCATTTTTATCAGTTCACTCAATCATTCAATGTGTACCTTAAATATATACTTTATATAAGACTTAACAAAGCAAAGATATATCAGAGACATATATAATCAAATGATCCAATGCTGTGAATAAAAAATAAATAAAAACAGGATGAGGGAATTGAGACTGACAGATGAAGACGATTTTGTATATCAGGGAAGCTTTCTCTGAGAAGGCAATATTTGAACAAACACTTAAATGAATTGAGGTGTTGTGCAGACATCTGGGGAAAGAGAGAGCAGCAAATGCAAAGACCCTATACTGGCAACAGCTATGGTCACATTTTCCGATGTCTTGGAATGGCTAGACATTCTTGTTGGGAAGCTAGACATTTTGAACTTTATATTATTGATTGTTGAACCTTGTTCTATAAAAAGTGTTGGATTTTTTTTTTTTTTTTTTTTTTTTTTTGGTAAGGGAGACAAGTTACGTGGAGTTCAGCTTGATCCTTTTGAGCCTTGTGTTTAGGTTTTGTAAGTGTAGGTCTAACATAGTCTTGGCTTTAGGGCTAGTTTAGCCCTGTAAATACATCATTAACCCTTTGAGGTCTTTCCTGAATGCCCCAGGAATTGAATAGTACTGTGCCCTCAGCTGATTAAAACACAAAGACCTTCCAGCTTTCCAGGTATCAGTGCTGGCAATTTTTCGACATCTAGGGTGTAGTCATTCTCTACTTGGCTTCTTGGAAAGTTATCCTATGTACGTACAGTTTGGTACTCAGGAACAGACTTGAAGGAACCCCTGAAAAGATTTCTTCCTCTGTGTGGCTCCCCTTCCCCTCTTCATTCCTCCTTTTTGCCAATTTTAGCCACCTTAGCCCCTCCAAACTTGAATTCTCCTCAGCTCAACAAGGTTGCCACGTTCTACTTGGATTCTGCTCCCTGCACCACAGACCGGAAAGCACTTCCAGGTAGAAATCTGGAGTGACTCTCAGGCTCTTCGTAGGTGCTTTTAATTCTCTGATTGGTGGTTTTAAAAGTCGAATTTGGGGGCACCTAGGTGGCTCAGTCGGTTAAGCGTCCAACTTCAGCTCAGGTCATGATCTCGTGCTTCGTGGGTTCAAGCCTCGCATCAGGCTCTGTGCTGACAGCTGGGAGCCTGGAGCCTGCTTTGGATTCTGTGTCTCCCTCTCTCTCTGCCCCTCCCCCACTCACACTCTCTCTCTCTCTCTCTTTCAAAAAATAAACAAACATTAAATAAAAATAAAAAATAAAAATAAATGAAAGTCGAGTCTGGCTGTTATGTAAATAGAATGCAAGATGGCAAGACAGGCAACATGAGACCAATTAGGAGACTATAAAGTAGTCCAGGAAAGGGTAGGGTAGAGCAACAGAGGAAATGATAACAGGTTATATTCTGGATAGATTTTGAATATAGAACCCAGAGAGTTTGCAGAGGAATTATATGTAGAAGTGAAAGAAAGAGAAAAATGAAGGCTTTTATTTATTTATTTATTTTGCCATGAGCAATAAGATGAGTTGCAGTACTATTTACAGAGAGAGAGAACACTGAGGGAGAAGCAGCCTCAGGAACTGGGAACTGGGAAAAAGATGAAAATCTGGTTTCAAGCGTGTCAAATCTCGGTTTCCTACTGACAGCCCTGGGGAGATGATACATAAGTGGTTGGTTATGCATCTGAAAAGAAGCATAAAGGTCAGAACTGAAGACATAAATCTGGAATAAAGAATGAACTTAAAGTCAGAACTAGGTGAGATCACCTACAAAGTGAGTATAGTTACAGAACAGGTTCAAAGCCTGAGGCTTAGGGGACTTCAACGCTAAGAAGGCAAGAAGCCAGCAGAGCAAAGTTAAATTTACCTCCCCATCATCAGAATATAATTTCTCTGTGGCATCTAAGACGTGAGGTTTCCAGTAAGAATACAAGGCACATGTCACAGCGCAGCCCTGAACAGCCATCCTCTCCCTACTCACCTCAGAAAGTACAACCCTGGACGGCCCATGTGTGTCTGAGACCTATCTGATTTGGAATCGGCCAAGATGAGTTTCTAAGTGTAGCATAATGTAGTGACAAATGTGCAGGATAAGCATTAGACACATGAGTTCCCCGCCGGACAATGGCTATAATTAACTAAACTCAAGTGAATATCAACTTCTCTTAGTTTCTGCACCTATAAAATGAAGAGATTGAGCTAAGTGGTCCTTAAAGCCTCTTCCATCTTTTTATTTTAAAAATCCTAGAGGGGCACCTGAGTGGCTCAGTCGATTGAGCATCTGACATCGGGCTCAGATCATCTCACAGTTCCTGAGTTCTAGTCCCAGACCAGGCTCTATGCTGACAACTTGGAGCCTGGAAACTGCTTCGGATTCTGTGTCTCCCTCTCACTATGTCCCTCCCCCGTTTACACACTGTCTCTCTCTCAAAAATAAATAAACATTAAAACATTTCTTTTAATTTTTTTAGAGAAAAAGTTCTTAACACCAAGATAGAGATATTTGTAATTTCATCCCCCACCGAAGATGTGCCCCCTAGATCTCTCCAAACTTTCTGGAACAAGCAGCGCCTCTTCATATATCTAACTGCTTCTGAACCCTGTGCCTCCCAGAAAGGTGGCTATTGAAAAAGGACCCACCAAAAAGAGACACTTCTCATCAAAGCTCTTGGGTTTCCAAGACTTAGGGCATCTGTCAGAGTACAGTCCATGCCATACCAACTACCACAACAGTTATTTGACTAGAGATAATTAAAAATTATTTTTAATGTTTATTTATATTTGAGAGTGAGAGAGAAAGAGAGAGGGAGCAGTGGTGGGGCAGAGGGAGACAGAGACAGAATCCGAAGGAGGCTCCAGGCTCTGAGATGTCAACACAGAGCCCAGTGTGGGGCTCGAACTCACTAGTGGTGAGATCACGACCTGAGCTGAAGTCAGAAGCTTAACCGACTGAGCCACCCAGGTGTCCCATGACTAGGGATAATTTAATGGGAAGAATGGCTGGGTTTGGAAGAGCTGAAAAGGCAAAGAGGAAAGTCTAAGCTACCTCTGCAGTAACAAATGCAAGATGTAGCTCCCACTCCTATGCCTGGGGAAACAAAGGGAAGAGATTGGAATGAGAAATACCTAGAAGCTTGAAGGAGAGGCCAGACGGGGCTGGGCTCCAGACCCTGGAGAGGGAGGCACTAGCCAACTGGCGCTGGTGGCCCAGGTCAGGCAGGGAGGAGTGTGGCCATGAGGCTGATTCTGCAAATGGTGAGGAAACTGCCAGTTGGATTCACCAGCAGCTGAGTATTGGGCTAACCTGGCCCCGTCATGGGGATGCAGCAGCCGTGCTGGGGTCATGCTGACAGGCATCAGGAGCAAGAACAGGGCTACATTCATGTCCGGTTTTCCTCTTCTAGCCTTCCTCTAGCACCCCCTACTGGTGCTATTCATCACAGCTGGCAGAAGAGAAGGGATTTGCAGAGCCCCCTCCCCAGAGTCAGGTATAGCAGATCCCCCTTATCCATGCCGGAAACGTTCCAAGACCCCCAGCGGATGCCTGAAATGGCAGATAGTGTCGAACCCTATATATACTGTTTTTTCCGGTACGTGCATACCAACGATAAAGTCTAACTTCTAAATTAGGCACAGCAAGCGATTAACAATAACTAATAATAAAATGGGACAATTACAACAATACGTCTAGCAGAAGTTATTTATGTGAATGCGTTCACTCTCTTTCTCAAAAGAACTTTCTGTACTGTACCCACGTTTCTTCTTCTGATTACGATGTGAGATGATAAAATGGCTGTGAGGAGAAGGAAATGAGGTGGATGACATAGGCCTTGTGACCTAGCAGTAGGCTATTGACCTACTATTGACCACCTGGACGTGGCTGACCTGGGGTAACTAAAACTGTGAAAATCAAAACCACAGATAAGGGAAGGACTCCCGTAGAGAAGAGCAGATTTAATGCTGGGAGACAATAGTTTAATAACTAACATACTCCATTATTTTAAAATTACTAAGAATAATACTGGGTTTGTAATCTCTAATACGTAGCATTTCTTAAATTCTCTTTTGAGCAACCAAAAGCTTCCTATATTTATTTTTAATGGATCTGAGCTCCTCCACTTAAAGGTATGCTTTTGAGCCCAGTAAATAAAGCTCCAACAATACCCAGAAGGCACCTATGTATCATATTCCACCACACACTCAATTATTATGTCAGCGTATCAACTAATGTTTGAGTGGCTACCACACACCTCCTGTCACTCCAGGCACTGTCTTCTCACCTGTGTGACTTGAGAGTCACCAGAAGTGGAGTTACTCTATGCTGGACAACAAAGAGTATTTTCTCCAGAAAACATAATTAAAAGGTAGACGTGCGCTGGCATGTTGATTAGTCTTCTAACCCTCTCCTGACACTATTCACAAATCCCTTCCCCCACATGGCCCCCTTACCACTCACGTTCACTATACGGTTGATCCCCCAACCTGCCTGTGGAAACAGAGAGATGAATATACCCACGTCAGTAAGGGAGGAAAAGCAAGATTTGGAGAGGTGTTCAGGTTACACCAGCTTTGCAATTACCTGAGCCATTATTTACACCCAAGTCTTCTGATCTAAAATCCAGGACTCTGGCCACCACACTAGGATGTCTTTTGCATAAATTAGTTTATCAGATTGGCTGGGAGTGTAGACCTTCTGGGGAAGGCTCAGAAACTACTCTATCCTCTCCCCCAGGCAGGCCCAGATCCCCTGTAACCCCACATCAGTACACCCAAGCAACCCAGATACTTCACAAGACTGGCCGCAGATGGCACCTCACCTCATCTGGAATCCTGCAAGGTGGAAATGCTGGGCGGCCTGATAAGTCAAGGCAAACCAAGGACAACGGAGAACCCCACCAATGGTTCATGATAACGGAGATCTGAGCACTGCCAGAAATGAAGGCCTGGAACACTCAAGGCTCTTTTCATGAAGGACAACATTGCTCATGCTCAGCGAGTGGAAACAGTAAGAACAACAGCAACAACAAAAAATAGGGACACTTGAGTGGCTCAGTTGGTTCAACTTCTGATGTCGGCTCAGGTCACGATCTCACAGTTTGCAAGATTGAGCCCTGCATCTGGCTCTGCGCTGACAGGGCAGAGCCTGCTTGAGATTCTTTCTCTACTTCTCTCACTTTCTCTCAATCTCAAAATAAATAAGTATATAAACAAACATTAAGTGTATACACACACACTCACTCACACACACACACACACACACACACACACACACACACACTCTAACCTGAGGCCTACCTTGGGTGAGTGAGTAGAGACACCCAGCTTCTAAGAGACACACGAAAGCCTCACAGGTATTGCCTCAGAGGCACAAACCTGATCCCAGACCTGGTTCCTGTGGCCCAAATGCTTAGCTCAGCTTCAGGGGCCCTTCAGAACTTTCACTGGAGCAGTGAATTCTAATTTTGTTAGAATCAGGAATTTTATTGTTCTGCATTTGGTTTCCATTATACACCCCAACCCACACACAAGGCTCTAGTGCCAAGAACTCTTGTGGGCTGACCATGATACGCCCTGGCATGCAAAAGAGAAACAGAAGAGCTCACATTCCTCCCCCTTTGCTACCTCCGTCCCTCCTGCACGCTCCACATAAACATTCATGGCACCTCACAAGTGCATACCCAATTAATAGAAGAGGGGTCGGTGAAGAAAAGCAGAGCCAGTAAGGAAAGCCAGATGAGCCCCGTGTTCATCAGTGAAACCAGACATTTATAGAGCTCCCGTTTCACACGGGCACTGAGGTGGTGAGGATACAGAGTGGTGTAACGTGCCTTTGATGTTCACAGATGATTTAATTGCCCTCTATCCCCAATAACAGACAAATAGATCAATGCGAACTAGCAAAGCTCCTTGGAAAATAAGGCATGGCCTTTTATCTCAGAAATTTCAAAGACCCTTTGCAAACACTCATTAGGCCCAACCTCATTCCGGAGACAGTGAGTGGAAGATCCAATATTAGCCACAGACTGAACTCTAGCTCTAGCTCTTCCGGCCCAACCTCATACAACCCCCTCTCCAGTAGGGTCTGATCAATGAACTGTTTTGCCTTAGTCAGGTATTCAGGTACTTCTTTCATTCAGCCTTCAGTGAGCTAGCCAGGTGCAATCTCTGTAAGGAAGCAGCTATGTTGCTGTAAGGAGGACTTCTCCCTTTCCGGAGATTGTAGGATGATCGCTGCAAGAGCAGATACAGCACGAGAGAGTGGCAGGGATTGCGGTGAGTCTCTGGCTTCCATCCCCCAAAGCTAAAGAATTATCAATCTCACCATACTCCATATATTCTATTTGTCACAGTAATTAGCTTATTTTGAGCACCAACTATACTCTCATATCCTTTATCTGGCTAAGAGGTTACCTCTGGTCGGAAACATGCAGGTGTTGATCCATTTTTAATGGATCAATAATAACTGTGACCTTGAACTAGATTGATTACTCTTGGAGTCTCAGTTTTCTCTTCTGTAAAATGGAAATAATATCAATCTCATAGAGTTGTGGGAACTACACGAGGAAACTTATGAAGCACTTAACATATGCCCAGCGCAGATTAGATGCTCAATAAATATTAGCCAATAGAAAAGTTCACCACAGGGGCGCCTGAGCGGATCAGTCGTTTAAGCATCTGACTTCGGCTCAGGTCATGATCTCACGGTTCATAGGTTCGAGCCCCGCGTCAGGCTCTGTGCTGACAGCCAGCTCAGAGTCTGGAGTCTGCCTCATATTCTGTGTCTTCCTCTCTCTTTGACCCTCCCCTGCTCACGCTTGTCTGTCTCTCTCTTTCTCTCAGAAATAAATAAAACATTAAAACTTTTTTTAAAAGAGGAAAGTTCACCACAATCTCCTAAAGCAAATATTAGATGTCATTAGTCCCTTTTTATAGATGAGGAAATGAATATTTAGAGATAAAGCATTTACCAAGGTCACCAGCTGTAAGTGACAGAACCCGGACTCAGTGGGAGTGTAACTGACCCAGATCCTGTGCTGGTAACCGCCATCGTCTGTGGAATGAGCCACGATGCCACAACCAGGGGCTCATGGCTACCATCCCACCCCAGCCACGCTCCCATTATCTTGGCAGGAGAGTGCAAGAAGCACTCTGGGAAGAGCAGAGATGGAGGGGCATAACACTGGAAGACTTGGTTGGCCCAGACATGAAGCTCCAACCCTCATATATAAGTATTGAAGCGATGGCAAGCAAAGAAATGCTTTGGTCTGAGATCTTATTATCATCACTTTTATTAAAATGGGGAAATTGAGGGTCACCTGGATTGCTCAGTTGCTTAAGCATCCAACTTCGGCTCAGGTCGTAATCTGATGATTAGAGGGTTCAAGTCCCACATCAGGCTCTGTGCTGACAGCTCAGAGCCTAGGTCCTGCTTCTGATTCTTGGTCTCTCTCTCTCTCTCTCTGCCCTGCCCTCATTCACACTCTCTCTCTCTCAAAAATAAACATTAAAAATTTTGTTAAAAATGTTAAAAAATGAGGAAATTGAGGCTCAGAGGCATTAGGTGACCCACATTAAGCCACATAATGAGTAACAGAGTCAAGACTGAAATCCAGGCTTTCTGACTCTGCTTCATGACATGGCTACAACCCTATAGCCTTACGTACTGTTGGCTCTTTCCTGGGTCTATATGCAAAACATGTCTTTGCTTCAACGGAAGGAGAAAAAGAAACAAATCAAACTTCACTGAGCACCTCCAGTGTGTCCAGCTCCTCACTAAATACCTTGTGTACAATCATTTAATCATGATGACCCAGAGAGTCAAGCTTAATTTTACAGAGAAGAAAACGGAAGTTCAGTCTCTAATTCAGGTAAATCTACCAACGTCACCACCTAGTAAGAAGCAGGGAACTTGAAACCCCAGCTTTGCCCACTCTACCCCCCACATCATGCTACCCCAGGGGAAAGCTTAGGAGAATCTGCTTTTTCATGGGCATGGCAAGCTCCAGACATCCTGTAACCATTTGGATTTTTTCTTTAAGAACTGAGACAAGAACAGCTCAGACTGTTGAGGGAAGAATTGTATTCAATACCCATATTACACTGGATATAAAGCTGTCTTCAAAGCTCATCAGAAAGACAGATAAAACCTGCTGCCTAACCCCAGCGTCTTGGACACTTCAAGAGGAGTGAAGAGGAGCCAGGGCTGGAATAATAGCCTGGAGGCCCATAAATTCCGTGGAGGACTCAAGATTTGTATCTTCCTACCCTCATCTGGCAAGTAACAACACATAATAATGGTGCTCACTACAGAAAACCATAAACTCAGAGGAGCCAGTTTAATTTAATTCCAAATCTAAAGCTATTTTGCTTCGGTGATTACAACTATTAGTTTCCTCCAAGATGATTGACTGTTCTTCCTTTCTGCAAGTACAGTTTGGGCCATCTCTCTGATTCCAACCTGCACTAAACATCGTGCTCTGCAAGACGGGACTGGAAGGGCTGGGAGGGAGTCACAAAGCAAGTCCCTTCTTGCAGGGGTCCCAAATCCCAGGAATCCCGGGACCCAATAAGATCCTAGCACTGGCTCCTAATAAGTCACTTTGATTCCCACCTTGGGAAATAGATCCCTTGTTGACTCACAACTGTCTGGGTTTTCTCTGCGGTCTGGGAAAAGCTGGAGCCTGCGCTGGATTCACCAGTGCACATTAATAATAATGAGCATTTTTCTCTCCTTCTTTCACACTTGGGGAAATGCTTTGTATTAAATAGATTATTCACAGTACATAAACCTACCAGTGTCACGTCAGGTCATGTTGAGGAAATGTCAAAAGAGGGTGGATAAGAGAGAGATTCAAATCACTTTTAGGATGTCTGTAGATTTCCGAAGCATCAAAGGCTTTGCTGTGTGGCTAGCCTGGAGGCAGTATGTACTGTCTCTTATCTGAATGGGGATCTGAGAGGCAACTAAATGGCTCAAACTAAGAGGGCTGTTTCCCTGTGTGTTCGAAGAAGAAAAATACCATTAGTCATGATAATGATGTGTAGTTACATAAGGCCTTTTATCTGTGCCTCTCAAAGTGTTTTAACCATTAATTATACCTCCCAACACACCTCTGAGGTAGGTAAAAACTATAATACCCATTTCACAGGTGAATAAAGGCCTACCAGGGAGGAGGAGTGAATTATCTGGGGCCACACATAGGCCAGTGGCTGAGCAAGCAATTCCTGCCCTCCAGGTCAAGGTTACAGCTGCCTTGTTCTTGTTGGCTTTTCTCTCTGAAGGACTGCGTTCTGGGAGAGGGTCAAAGACGCTGTTGTGATGCCACATCTAGGGGCCGATGGAACTGATCTCTCTTAGCCCAGGATGCCAAACAAAAGAAAAACAGCCTCTTTATATTTATAGAAAGCATAAAGGAAGAATAGTCTCATGCTGTGGTCATTGTCCCTTAGAATAGATGTGGCCAGTGATCCATGGGATGCTCAGGACACACCTTCGGCTATGACTCAGGTGCCTTGGGTCCTGACCAAGATGCTCCTTTCAATAATCACAGAGTCAGGTCTCAAGGTCAATCTGAACCACAGACATTCTGCACAGGAGTGCTTCCTAATGACCAGGGCTCTATCTTCTCCAAGTGTCTCTCCCATTGCCCCTCATCTTCCATTAACCACTGTTCACACCACAGGAGCACATAGCCAGGATGCCTAATCCTGGGGACTCGAGAAAGCTCTTCAAAGAAAGAGCGCGAGAATGCTGGCAGAGGGATGGAGAAGAGAAGTGTTTCAGTCAGAGGTAACAGCACATGAGGTTGAAAGGTGGGAGAGAGCACAAGTGTGAGGAACACAAGTGTGAGGAACACATCATCCTTTGTAGATGATATGCAGCATTTGTGAAGGAGGAGGGAGTGGTAAGAGCCAAAATAAAGAATTTTATAGAAGAGCATCATTAGATAAGTGGAGCTGTGGAAAAAGACAGTCAAGTCTGTATTTGGGGAGTACTTTGTATTCCAGAAGCCCGATAGGAGTCCCAGGTGTGGGTGGAGAGATGTGGAGTTCAGCTGGGACATGCATGGGACATCTCCCTAACATTCTCTCCAAAACACCCCTGGGCCTGCTCCCACATTTTAGGTTTTTGTTACCATAGTACCCAACCTCCAAGAACCAAAATCTGTATTAAGTATGGACTACTTTAGAACAAATTACTCCAGAACTTAGCAGCTCAAAATGATGAGCATTTATTACCTCACAGTTTCCCATAATCAGGAATCTGGAAGCAATTGAGCTGGGTGGTTCTGGGAGTTCTCTCACAAAATATTAGTCAAATTAATAGACAACCAACACTACTGTCATCTCTAGGATTGGTTGCAGCTGAAGATTCTTCTTCAAAGCTCACTCTCATGGTTATTGGTACACCTCAGATTTTCATTGCCTATTGGCTGGAGGCTTCAGTTCCTTGCCACATGGGCCTCTCCATAGGGTAGCTCACAACATGGCAGCTGGCTCTGCCCAGAGTGAGAGATTAAAGGGTGAGGGGGGAAGACACCCAAAATAGAAGCCCAAGTCTTTTATAACTTAATCTTAGCGGTGACCTACCATCGCTTCTGCCGTGTACTATTGGTCACACAGACCAGGGTGTGTACAAACCAGTAGGCAGGGATCGTTAGAGCCATCTTGGAATCTGGCTACCACAGTTGGGAAAAACTGATTCATCCAGTTTTGTCTCCTTTTCCCCTCCTTTGTTAGTTCCTAGCTCCACAAACACTGAGCGTGCCTTCTACTGGTACATGTACTTGTAGTACTTGGACTTAGTACATGTACTGGTTTAAGAACAGTGCTAGACCCTGGGTACAGGGACTACCAGACACTGCCATTCCACAGGTGTTTGTCTTGTCTAGTCAGTGGAAATGAAAGATACGAGTCCGGAGAAGATGGAGAAAATTTGCATCTACACTTAACACCTATGACGGACCAGGCCCTTTGCTAGGCACATCAGAGATTTTCATGTCCACCGTAATCCAACAAGGTAGACGCCAATATCCGGTTTTATGGATAAAAAAAAATCTAAGATTCAAAATACTTAGGAATATTGCCCAAACTCCCATAACTAGTAGATACCAGGAATGGGATTATAATTTAGGCTTCCAGGTTATGGAGGGAGGCATAGCTCAACTATTAGGAAAGAGCTCAACCATTCAATTCCATCTACATAAACTTAAAAAGATGCAGAGAAGTTATGCTGATGATCCATCTCAGGCCTTTTTGCCTGTATTATTCTTCCCTCACCTTCTGCTGCAGGGATTAGTATCCTAAGACTCGAGAACAGAAACTTTATAAGAAGAAATGAAGAAATAATAGAAAAGTGGAAAGTTCTTTGGGTTTCCTTTTTAAACTTTTAGAAAATTTTACATATACACAGGGTCAAGAGAAATCCTCATGTATCCATCCCCGAGCCTCAACAGTTCGACAGTTTGCTTGTTTCCAGACTTGAGGACTGCCGTCTCCCCTGACTGCTGCCGCATGTTGAGAGGTGTTTGGAGAAAGAGGTTGGAGGGCCCTCACTCATCCACTGGCTGTCAGGTTTATTACTTTGTCTCTCATGGAGAGTATTTTTACTTCATCTTGACCTCATATTCTGTGGTTTCTCTTGTATATGTGACAACTTGACATGTTCTTGCTCTGAAAGCAATGTGATACTGGAGAAAGAGCATTGGACTCAGAGCCAGAGACTGGACACCACTTACCAGCCACATGACTGGGGCAACCACTCTGAACCTCAATTTCTTCATCTCCAAAATTAAGGTAATGATGCTACCTTCACAGTGTTGTTGTGGGAAATAAATTTCTAAAAGTGTATGTGTTTAAGTCCATCCAGGCTGCTGTAAAAAATGTACCACAGACTGACTTTAACAACAAACGCTTATTTCTCACAGTGTTGGAGGCTGCTTAAGTCCAAGATCAAGGCATCAGCAGATTCAGTGTCTGGTGAAAGTCTGCTTCCTGGTTCATAGAGAGCTGTCTTCTTGCTGTGTCTTCCCACGGAAGAAAGAATGGGAGAGCTCTCTGAGGTCCCTTTTATAAGGGCATTAATCCCAGTCGTGAGGGCTCCACCTTCATGACATAATCAACTCCCACAGGCTCCACTTCTTCATACCTTGAAGTGTAGGATGCATTGACAGGTAGGGTTTCAACATATGAATTTGGAGGAGGACACAAACTCTCAGACTATAAGGAAAAGCAGACATGATCTCTGGAATATCAGAAATATTCAACAAATATTTAAGTCTAATGGTAAGAGTACAAGCAGTATACCACACACCATTTATCTTTTAACATAGTTGGGTGAAATGTTGAGACAGAAGAAGTAGCTAATGGTGGAGTTGCAGATATGAGTGGCAGTTACTACAAAGCCATGAAGCAGATTCTGACTCTTCAACTCAAACCCTTCAACTTGGCCTTGCCTTCCCACCATCTGCTGAAAACTTCCTCACCCTTGAGCCCCATCAGTCACTGAGTGGCTCGGCTCCCATCTTGACCGCCATCCTCATGTTGTGACATCTGGGATTTAATAACCCTGGGCATGGACCTGGCCTGAAAAACTCATTGAGCTTGCCTCCTTGTTTCCAGAATCCTTTGCTTTGATTGTAGTCATAGGTATCACAGCCTCCGCTCTACCCCACTGAGTCTCCCTCTGTTCCCCACAATACATACAGCCCATGAGGAGAGCTGAACCACAGGTACAAGGACAGTATGACATGAGAAACACAGTCACCAGACTTTTGGTAAGCCTTCCAGCCCCTGTACCACCTAAAGCCCTTCTTTTGAGGTCAGGCAGGGGCCTCTCCTCTTCCTCTTCCTATCAGAGGAAGTTGCCTATTTGGATGTATTTCGTCTGATTCCTTAGTCTTGAAGTACCATGACTGGCTTGTGAGGAAGACACATCAGTTATAGGAACTGAAAAGCCATATATTATTAGCGCATTTCGTTGTAACATGAACATGTTGACCCCTCCTCACCTAAAGGGTTGGTTATTCACTTAACAGCTGTCTCTCCTACTATACTTTGTCAGTTTTACTCACCACTATTTCCCCAGAACCTCGCACATAGTGATAATTAAATTTTTTTGAAGAATGGATATATACATGAAATGAAAGAATGAAAGAGTTTAGATGGATAGAATTTACCTTGACCTAAATCAAAGAATAGCTTCACAGGAAGACAGACAGGAATCTGAGGAAGTTCAAAGGCACAAGGTAGGAAGCTGAGGGAGTGTCCACAAGATGTCTGGAGGGGGGGTGACCAGAGAAAGGAGGGGAGGGTGGGGAGAGGACTGAAGATTTGAAATAGTTATCATGGGGAGTTGGACTGAATGCCCATGAGAGACTCATTGAGGGATTGCTGGCAGTGGGCGGCTCTAGGATTCGACCATGATACCATGGTTGGCATCAGGGGGCAACAGACTCCATCAACCAAGAAAGGGAATGGACGATGAGGAAGCCTAATGCAGAGAAGAGTTATGGGGGAGCAGACTTGCACATGGACCTGGCCACCTCAGGTCAATGAGAATTTACCAGGTTCCTACAATGCACTGGACCTTTGTATTGAGTACAAAGAAAAACAGGAGAGCCCCTGATTGGGAGGAGCTAGAAAACACATCAAATGTGACAGAGTCATGAACGCTTAAATAAAACCACAGGAAATATCATACTGTGGCTCAACTGTAAATGCAAAGAATGGTAAGACCAAGAGTGTTTTCTCTTCTATATCTCTCCTCCTTTTTCCACCCTAAAAATCACAGTTCAGGAGCACCTGGGTGGCTCAGTCAGTTAAACCTCTGAGTTCAGCTCTGGTCATGATCTCACAGTTTGTGAGTTAGAGACCCTCATTGGGCTCTCTGCTGTCAGTGCTGAGCCTGCTTCAGATTCCACCCCCCCCTTCTTCCTCTCTCTCTGCCCCCCCCCACACTCTCTTTCTCAAAAATAAACATTAAAAAAATAAAAATAAAAAACCAAAAATCACAGTTAAGCTCCTTGTCTCTGTGCCCAGAATTCTTTTACAGCAAGTATGATCTACACTAGACAGTCTTTTCTTTTTAATTTTTGTTTTAATTTTTTTATTTTAGAGACAGAAGAGAGCATGTGAGCAGGAGAAAGGGGCAGAGGGAGAGTGAGAATCTTAAGTATGGAGCTGAGCATGGAGACTGCCAGGGGGCTCAATCCCTAGGATCATAACCTGAGCCCAAATCAAGAGTTGAAATCAAGAGTCAATACTTCACTGACTGAGCCACCCAGGGGTCCCTACACTCTGCAGTCTTGGATCGCCACCTGGTGGTTCCTCAAGGTATTCAACATTTAGTTTCCAGAGGAAAGAGCTCTGGATTGTAAGAAAGGAGAAAAAATGTATTCGATCAGCAGTATTTATTGCCCAAAACATTGTAATAGGCACCAGGAGTATGAATATATGTCCTCAGGTTTCTTCCAATGTAATAAAATTACTTGTTTATTAGGACTTACATTAAACTGTGAACTGAAAGCCTATATATATGAAAGCAAATTTAATGAGAACTTTGATCTGTTGACTGAATTATAATTTCTCATAGGAGAAAAGAAAACAGAGCATCTGTTGTTAAATAGAAAATATAAAATCCAGTCCACCTATGTAGTAACTCTTTTTCTTCTGAGCCTACTCCACCTTCTCTAGCCCCCCAATTTTACTCTGAGCAGACACTCAGAGTACAAAACCCACATTTTCAAAGGTGCCAATAGGGGAGGCAGCTATGGGCAAGGGAAAGAGAACCAGA